CATATATACATATATATATAATATATATAAATATATAAAATATATGAAAAATTGATGTGGATACTCAAATAAAAGGTCTCAATGTGTGTAACATCAGGATAACCTTATATCTTTAAAATTGTCAATATTTCATAAAATACTAGGTAATTTCTTAATTATTGACATTTTCAAAGATATAAGCTCATCCCGATGATATACTCATCAAGACCTTTTATTTGAATACCCACATGGTATTTTTTATATATTTTTCATATATACATATTTATAATATATATAAATATACAAAATATATGAAAAATTGATGTGGGTACTCAAATGAAAGGTCTCGATGAGTGTAACATCAGGATGAGCTTATATCTTTAAAAATGTCAATATTTCACAAGATACAAGGTCATTTCTTAACTATATAAACAAAGTTACATTGTTCTTATGTAGTCTTCAATCCATTAACCAAACTATCCTAAAAAACAAAGTCTAAACCAATCGCTCGTCTAGATTATTGTTAATATTAATTATTATTACTTGCAAATACAAAGTGAACAGTTTGTACCCTTTAAACAATCTATGATATTGACTTATTTGCATAATTATTATAAACACTCTAATTTATTAATCAATTAATTAATTACGGGCATGTTGTTAATGGCTGTGTTTTGTATTGTTTGTTATTGTTATTAATTTAATTTGTCGTACATTTATCACACTAATTATTATTACAATATATTACTTATACTTTCCATTTTAATGAGACCTTTTAATAAATGATGGACGAGGTTATGTTACTCAACTATAAGCGTATCATACAATGCTGATGTAAGGTTATGATCAATTATTTTTTTCCATGCTCAAAATTTACTCTGATAAATATTACAATAAATTTTATTTCTTCTTAACTTTTCTTCAAACAAACATTGTTATAATTAATTGTGTGACCAATTGAGTAAATTTGACAAAAATTTTATTGAATCGCATTAATATTTTTTTTTCAACGGCAGTCTTAAAATTCTCAAAAAATTTTACCTTGTTTTTCCACCAAAAAAAATTTTTTTTTTTTTACAATTATTACTAATTTTGTTGAGTGGATTCCGAAGAAATCGGAATACACTCATCAGTCGAATTAAAATTATTTATTTACCGCCAATATTTTCGTTGAATTCAAAAATTTATTGTTCTTTTCTTCTCAATTTTTTTTGAGGGACAAAAAAAAAGTTTCTAAATAATTACATTTAATTTTGATTTTAGTTATTAAAAAAAAATTTGGACCTATAACTATCTATAAGCACCATATACGATATTAAATATATATATTTTTATGTATAGTAAATTACATTAGGTGTCTTCACTGGTATGTAATATATTGAGACAATTTTAATGAAATTGAAATTATTAAACAATGATGATAATAATTGCTTACTTTCATCACGCCTTTTTATTGTCGGCGTATTGAAATAAGGCACCACGATATCGACATTTATTTAAATTATATTAAAGTAATAAGTCGATACTCAAATTATTTATTTCTTCAACAATAATTACTCTGATATTCATTTAGAGTCTATATTTAGGTAACTCGCGTGCCAAGAAACAATGTGAAGTAAGTTAAAGGAGGTTTTTATAAAATTAATTTATTTATGAAATTAATTTTTTTTCATTGAATTAATTTTTTTATGAAATTAATTTTTTTTCAGTGAATTAATTTTTTTTATGAAATTAATTGTTTTTTATTATTAAAAACTTTGTAAAGTTATGCAAATAAAACACATATATATTGTTTTTTATTAAATTAATTTTCTTATGAAATTAACTGCTTATTATTAAATTATTTTTTTTTATGAAATTAATTGGTATTATTAAATTAATTTTTTTATGAAATTAATTTCTTTTATTAAATTAGTTTTTTTATGAAATTAATTGATTTTTATTAAATTAATTTTCTTATGAAATTAACTGCTTATTATTAAATTATTTTTTTTTATGAAATTAATTGGTATTATTAAATTAATTTTTTTATGAAATTAATTTCTTTTATTAAATTAGTTTTTTTATGAAATTAATTGATTTTTATTAAATTAATTTTCTTATGAAATTAACTGCTTATTATTAAATTATTTTTTTTTATGAAATTAATTGGTATTATTAAATTAATTTTTTTATGAAATTAATTTCTTTTATTAAATTAGTTTTTTTATGAAATTAATTGATTTTTATTAAATTAATTTTCTTATGAAATTAACTGCTTATTATTAAATTATTTTTTTTTATGAAATTAATTGGTATTATTAAATTAATTTTTTTATGAAATTAATTTCTTTTATTAAATTAGTTTTTTTATGAAATTAATTGATTTTTATTAAATTAATTTTCTTATGAAATTAACTGCTTATTATTAAATTATTTTTTTTTATGAAATTAATTGGTATTATTAAATTAATTTTTTTATGAAATTAATTTCTTTTATTAAATTAATGAAATTAATTGGTTTTATGAAATTAATTTTTTTTCATTGAATTAATTCTTTTATTGAATTAATTTTTTTATGAAATTAATTTTCTTATGAAATCAATTTTTTTTTTTTATTTAATTAATTTTCTTATGAAATTGATTGCTTTTTATTAAATTATTTTTTTTATGAAATTAATTGGTTTTATTAAATTAATGAAACAATGTTAAGAAATTAGACTCTAATTGAATATCAGTTCCAAAAAAAAATTACTAAAAAAAGCCATTAATTAATTACTACCCAGTTAAACAAAATAAACCATGCCGTTGTTTGAACTTTCAATAAAAATGAACTTCATAACCTCAACTTACAAATTCTAAATCGATATGCCTTGAAAAAATTATACATACAGTTATTAATTATCATACAAGTATACACATTACATTAAACGTTTACCCTACTCTAGAAAAAATCGTGGATTTTTTTAATTAAATACATTAAATCCAGTCAGTTATTTGTTTGTTTGTTATTTGTCTGTTAACTGGCGCGGTTTATTTTTTTGTGGACTTTAGAATAAAATATTATAATCAATGACCATTCATTATTTGTCCACTTAAATTTACAATTGCCGTTAAATTAAATCATCCTTATTTATTACTTTATAAATTGATAATTGTCATATTTGTAATCACATTGCCTTGGAATTATTAGTCAGACAGTCTCTTCTATCACATTCCCCGCTAGCTGTGCTGGAAGGTTGGAAATACTACAAAAAAAATGCATATTTATTAAAAACCTATCAATAAGTTTGATAAATTAGTCTTTTTTAATTTTAGTTGCAAACAATCCGCTAGAGGGCCTGGTAGGGCAAAAAAAAGTTAACATAACCTCATTTGGAACAAAGTAAATATCAAAAATTTATGTAAAATTAACTTTTTTAAACGTAAACCGTGTAAAAAAAAATTTGTAGTAAAAATTTTCTACCAAGATAATTTGCAACTTAAAATAAAAACCGACTAATTATAAACTAAATAAAATTAGCTTTTTTAAAATAGCGAAAAAATAAAAAATGATAATGAATATGAGGCAAATAATAAAAACAATAAATAAATGCTATGATTTTAATAATGATCCTAGCCCTACCAATAATTTTTTTTTACTTGGCGATGGGGCTTATCCTGGTATCATCTTGCATTTCAACAACAATCGTATCAGGATCCGGTACTCGGTTAGCAGATAAACACCCATTGGCTATCGTCGTTGGCAAAACAGTTTCCGACTACATAAATAAAATTTTTTATCATTACCCCGCAATTAATATTAATATAAAAAAAAAAAAAAAAAAAAAATAATTACTTGATAAGCGGCTGCATCTAGAGCCATTAGTTCTTTTTTTGACAATTGTTCAACCACAGCAGCAGCATAGCAGTCACCCAACATGTTGTTTGTTGTTCTTACTCGGTCTCTATAATTAATCAATTAAACAATTAATTAAGCCTTACCGAGCGATAATTGGATTACTTATTGGTTATTGGTTATTACTTACACAAACCAGTCAATAGCAAATAAAAGTGATACGTCTTGCACAGGCGCATCGATCGCACTTAGTACTACAAGTAATAGTACTAATGCTGCGCTTGGTACTGATGCCGATGATACACTCGCTGCTGTAGATGTTAATCTATTGGAAAAATTTATTTATTATTATTAAATAATTTTATGTAACTAACAACCTAGCAGTCACTACGTGACTGCCGTGACTTGTGACATATAAATAAAATTTTGCTTTATTAAATAATGATTTTTGTTAAATTGCAATGTACTTTCTTAAATATTGAAGTTTTTGAAGATATAAGCTCATTCCGATGTTACACTCTTCAAGAGCTTTCATTTGAGTACCCACATGCATTTTTGATATATTTTTCATATATACATATATGTAATATATATAAATATACAAAATATATGAAAAATTGATGTGGGTATTCAAATGGAAGGTCTCGATGAGTGTAACATCAGGATGAGCTTATATCTTTAAAAATGCCAATATTTAACAAGATACAATGTAATTTCTTTACAATTGACATTTTTAATGATATAAGCTCATCCCGACGTTATACTCATCAAGAGCTTTCATTTGAATACCCACATGCATTTTTTATATATTTTTCATATATACATATATGTAATATATATAAATATACAAAATATATGAAAAATTGATGTGGGTATTCAAATGAAAGGTCTTGATTAGTATAATGTGGAAGTGAGCTTATATCTTTAACAATATCATTAGTGAACAAGAGAGCAATGTAATTTCTTAATTATTGACATTTTTTAAAATATAAATTTATCTCGATGTTACACTCATCAAGAGCTTTCATTTGAATACCCACATGCATTTAATATATATGTCATATATACATATATGTAATATATATAAATATAAAAAATATATGAAAAATTGATGTGGGTACTCAAATGAAAGCTGTCAATGAATGCAACATCCGGGTGAGCTTATATCTTTAAAAATGTCAATAGTTCACAAGATACAAGGTCATTTCTTAATTATGTATCTAGAGATAGAGTATTTTCGATTGCCGCTTAAATAATTATTATAAAAAATTGACTATCGGTGAAATTTTAACTAAAAAAATCATTAAATAAATTTTTTAAATTATAAATTTTTAATAAAAAGCATCAATGAAATTTTTTTAATAATAAATTCTGAAAAAAAAAATGATTTAATAAAATTTATGAATGATTTTTGAGTAATTACACTGTACTTTCTTAACTATTGACGTTTTTAAAGATATAAGCTCATCCCGATGTTACACTCATCGAGGCCTTCCATTTGAATACCCACATGGCATTTTTGATATATTTTTCATATATACATATATATAATATATATAAATATATAAAATATATGAAAAATCGATGTGGGTACTCAAATGAAAGCTCTCAATGAGAGTAACATCAGAATAAGCTTATATTTCTAAAAATGTCAATAGTTAACAAGATACAAGGTCATTTCCTAATTATATATATTGATTTAAAAACTTACATGACTGTGACGATTTCACCAAATCCAAGAAAAATTCCATTCATCTGGGCGATAAAAATACTTGCACTTGCAACAAACAAAGCCGTACCGTCCATGTTGATGTTACAGCCAATCGGCAAGACAAATCGCGTAACTCGCGGGTCAACTCTTAGTTTGTCGGTCATCAGACGAAAGGTCACAGGTAATGCAGCAGCCCTGTACAAATCTCCATTAGATTTATCTCAATAAACAAACATCTTTTTACAAAAATATCCAAATATTTTCATCAATAATTATTTTAATTAATAATAAATAATTTTTATAAATTATTAATCACACTCGTGTCCTTTTTGGTAAAAGAATAACTTAAAAAAATAAACAAAACAAATTAATCTCCAGAATTACTGAAAATAAAATTAATTTTATTTTTATTAGATTAATTTGAAAAATCCTCAAAGTGGCTCCGTGTTTTTTGAAGTGTGGACTTGCTTCGAGCCTGGAACAGACAGTACCTTTATTCTTGCGGCCGTCAATTACTTACCAAGCACCGATAATTATTTTCTGAATTCAACACTGCTGTCATTTCTCTGTGATTTGATTTTCTAGTCGGGTTCTAATCATGTGCTCTACTGACACATTTAACAATTCTTGTCACTGTTTATTGATAAGACGTCTCATGTTATTCTGTAAAAAGTTAATCCACACACAAAATATTTTGCATTAACTAAAATTAATAATTTTACAAAAAATAAATTATTTCTTCCTGAAAATTAATTTTTTGTATTGTATTAAACTGGAAAAATAATTATTGCACTGTTTTAAAAAATATAAATCCGTGATTTAACTAAAAAATATAAATAATTGTCATTAGTACTGCTCAGCTCTCCCTCCGTTAATTCACCGTACCTGTAATTAATTTTTTTCATAACTAAAACACGTGTAATAATATTGCACTCGAATCAGGTCCAGATGACACGGAGTCAATTGATATTTAATTCTTTAACGTTGAATTTTTAATATTCTTCATTGAATTATAAATAATTAAAAAAGAATTTTAAATTACTAATAAATAATTAAAATATTCAATATTTATTTCAACGTAAATTTAGTCTTTTATTATTTTAATAATAAAATAATAAGAGAGATAAATTTGAAGGTAAATTATCAAAATTCAAAGTGCCACCCAGAACTGCATACCTCTCTCTATAATTTTTCTTTCTCTCTTTAATAAAGGAGACTGCATGCTCCTGGACGAGCATACGCGATTGTTAATAAAACAAAATAGTAAGGATTTTTAAATTCATTTATAAATTCATAGATCGGGATTAAGGATACTTTAATATTCTTCGAAGAACAAAAGTTTATCCTAAATTTTACAATCTACATATCCTCTGAATTGTTTTATTTTTATATTCAAATAAAATTTATTTTTAGAAGAATATTAAAGTAAGGTGGAGGGAAGAAATGCCAGACCTCGCAGAACCGATTAATTTTTTTTAATTTAAGAAAAACTAAATGAGTGTTTAAAAAATTAATACTAAAAAAAATTGTTTTTTTTTTTTGGTGAATTGTGATTTTTTAATTGTGGCCCTGCAAGGCAGGCGGATTATAAATAGGAAAGGAGGGATCGAAGTCGAAGATCGACGACTCACGTTGATGCCATGGCGAACGCAGTAAGAGTCCCCTGAGCGAGCCCGGCGTAGAATTTAAAGGGGTTCTTGCGCACAAACGCCAGGTAAATTAGCTGCATGATAACCAGCTGGTAAAAGAAGACACCGATGACCACAGTGACGATGAACCAGGCTAGCTGGGACATTACTAGAGCTAGATCATCTACGCCAAGAATTTTTCCTGCTATTACTGATGTTATACCGATTGGTGTCATCCTGAAACATAATTAATTAAATTATTTATTTATTTATTAAATAAAACGAATTATTTTATATAAGGTAAAGTACCCAGTAGTTGAACAGGTTTGAAAGTAAAAGTTGACCCTAAGGTAAAAGCCCCTATTATTGACATGTTGTTTTATTTTATTGATTATTTAATCAATTTTATAATTAAATCACAATAAACATTGCTTTTTATCAATTTTTAGAAAATTTTTAGTAAGAAAAAAGTAAAATTTTATGCCTGGGTATTAATTATTAACTGCAAAAAAATTTTATTTTTACGAGTAGACCACTACGGCTAGTTTATTTAAAATTTCTTAACAATTTCGCTAAGAGAGAGTGTATTTTAAATAGCGAATTTTTCTATATAATTCTGATATAAGCCTATCATCCAAAATTATTTGAGGCTATTTAAACTCTAAACAATCTTAGATTTATTGTTTTAAGCTGATAAATTTTAATTATGATTTAAAAATAGCGGGTGTCAATAGTAGGTACATAAAAATTAACATGTGTTTAACTAGCGACAGCCTACAATTTTAAGAAACTTTACCTCTTCAACATACATAGCGGATTTGTTTACATGTTGTCTCGAGTAATTTTATAATAAAAAAAGAATTGTCTGAGCAAAATCTTGTTGTTTACTAGTAAATAATAAATTATATTCGAAGTTTAAATTTCAATTAAACCTGAATAATAGGGTTGACACCTGTCAATAATAGGGTCTATGGGTGTCAATAGTTGGCTCCGATACCATTTCACCCCGTCAATAATACCTACACTTGAGTTGGTGATTTCAAATTAATATATTTGTCATTTAATTAACGACTATTTAAGTATACAAATGAAAATACACAAGTTGATGAATCAAAAAAAGTGTCGAATACAAAAAAAAAAATTAGTCAGATTAATTTGAATACGGTTAAAAAATTCAAATGTTCGCCGTCACTCTTATAGTGTCAATAATGGGGGCTCTTACCTTACAATTTTTGGTGTGCCAAATAATTACATCTTTATATATTAAAGTAGAGTCAAATTTTACCTTGAAACCTGTTTAACTACTGGGTACTTTACATTAATAAAATAAAATAAAATAAATTACCACATAACAGTTGAGACCATCCGCATAATAACTTCAAAGACGGCCTTAAAAAACTCTATAACAACTTGTCCCTTTTTCTCGCCGAGCGTTCCCAAAAATGTGCCAAATACCAAACAAAAAAAGACAATTCCAAGCGTGTTGGTGCCACTTCTGTACTGAATAACTCTCACTAGCTCTTCGTCGGGGTTAGCGACAGCTCCACTTCCACTTGTCGATTCAACTCTATCGCTCTCGTTCTGAAGCGGCAATTTTTTGGGCACGTAAACAGTGTGCGCTTGTTGAAACGCCGCTTGGAATAAATTGTCCGGGAACATATTTCTAAAAACATAAATTGCTTTTTTTTTTTTTTTTTTATTAGAATTGTTAATTTAATGGAAGGTAAATGTTTAAGGAGTATCAAATATCGGATAATTGATTAATTGATTCCGCTGAAAGGTTATATATAATTCCTGTGTATTGATTTGTTTGTGTACTCAGATATCGTATCAATGTCAGGGCTTATTGGGTTGCAAGTATATTTAATTCACACCAACACCCATCTTCGGTTTTATATACTGCTTTGAGTATGCATGACGTTGCATTTGTCTTCTAGCTCAGTACTTGCTAGTGTACAGTACCACAAAAGCTTGTTATCGATTGCGGTGGCTATTTTTAAGAGTATCTAGGTATCTCGGGCTGGTTTATGTAGATAACATTTTTTTTTTATGGTTGCTTTTTAAGCGGGTTATTTATATATATTTTTTTTTTATTAAAAATTCCATGCGAAATAGAAAGATGACTAAAATTTTAAAATTTCTCTAATTAATTCTAGTTCCTAATTTATTATTAAAAGTCTAATTATTATTAAGCTAATTTTTGAAGAAAGCTTTCAAAACATGAAAAAGGAACATATTTTTAAAGTAAAAAAAAATAGTCAAATTTTTGCGACGCTCTAATATATACTCTGGTAAGATTTTTCTGGAAGCGAGAGCCGTAGGCCATCTAGCGGTGAAACCAAGAACTAACTTTTGAAAAATCTTATTTAATATAAAATTCCTAATATTTTTTATCTAAATAATATATTATAGAATTTTATATAATAATTCAGAGGTGGATTTTATAAGAAATATTTTTCTTTAATATATTATCAATCTATTTTGAAAATTTAAAGGTCAAAAAAATTTTTTATCAAGCTAATTGGTGTCGAAAGCTTTCAAAACATAAAAAAAGTAACATATTTTCTATGTAAAAAAAAATAGTCAGTTTTTTGCGACACCGTAATATATACTCTGGTAAAATTTTTCTGGAAGCGAGAGCCGTAGGCCACCTAGCGGTGAAATCAGAAACTAACTTAAAAAAAATCTTTTTTTGACATAAAATTTTCAATATTTCTCATCTAAATAGTATATTATAGAATTTTATATAAAAATTCAGAGGTAAATTTTATAAGAAATATTTTTTTTTAATATGGTATCAATCATTTTTAAAAATTCAAATGTCAAAAAAATTTTTTATCAAGCTAATTATTATCCAAAGCTCTCTAAACATAAAAAAGTAAAATATTTTCTAAGTAAAAAAAAATAGTCAGTTTTTGCGGCACCATAATATATATTCTGGTAAGACTTTTCTGGAAGCGAGAGCCATAGGCCACCTAGCGGCAAAATCAAGAACTAACTTTAAAAAAATCTCATTTAACATAAAATTCCTCATATTTATTATCTAAATAATATATTATAGATTTTCTTTGTAAATAATTCAGAGAATTTATGAGAAATATTTTTCTTTCATATATTATCAATAATTTCAATACTTTACATGTCAAAAATTTTTTTATCAAGTAAATTGTTATCAAAAACTCTTAAACCATAAAAAAGTAACACATTTTCATAATATACTTAAAGAAAACAAAAATAGTTAGTTATTTGCGGCGCTCTAATATATACTTTGATGTGATTTTTCTGGAAGCGAGAGCCGTAGGCCACCTAGCGGCCAAACCAAGAACTAACTTTTAAAAAATTTTATCTGACATAAAATTTCCAATATTTTTTATCTTAATAGTGTATTATAGAATTTTATATCAAAATTCAGAAGAAATATTTTTTTTTAATTGATTAAAATTATTAATTAAGAATGTAACGTTATATTTTTACCTTCCTAAATCCAAAAGACTATCCAAAATATTAACAGCCCTAGCATGGGTAGAAATTGCATTAGAATCCTTCATCCCCGAATTTCCGGGATGAATTAACAACGCCAGTGCAACACCAAGAATTGCATTTAGCAAAGAGGTTAATATAAAATACACTAGAGTTCTCACAGCTATTTTGCCATTCATCTTGGCATTTAAACTTGCAGAACCTAAAAAAGAAAAAAAATATATTAAACCCAAGTAGAAAATAAATTAAAAAAATAACAATTAAAAAAGATAAATTACCAGAAATTAAGCTTGCAATAACTAGCGGTAAGATCATCAGCTTGAGTAATCGCATAAATAGTTCACCAGGGTAACTAATTAACATAACCGTGTCATCGCTAAGTCCTAGGGGCCGTAATCCGAATCCTGAAAAGAAAATAAAGAATATCACATTAGTATAAGTAGAAGTTTAGTTTAGTTTATTTATGACGTTTGATATTAATATAGTAAGTACTTGTATTATGCACGCGCTTTAATGCTAAATCAGTTAAGTTGGTATTTCATTGTAAGCTATAATGTGCTGTGATGTAATAAATAATAGTTTGAAAGTAGAAGATAATTTTTAATAAGTTTAAAGTAAAAATAGAACGATTAAGAAAAAGGATTCTATTGTAAAAGAAGCGTGGGATGCTTTTAAAGATATTTTAGTCATTACTTTACTTCAACCAGTAACTGACAATAAAATATTTACAACAATCGATATCATGCACTTCACGTTTTCATTCTTTTTTTTTTTAATCACTCTTTTATTATTTAAGAACTTATTAAAAATTATTTTCTACTTTTTAGTTTAATTTTTTATAAAATTGTCTTTTTAAACTTTTTAAAACAATTATTTATTTTTTAGTAAATTTTTATGGAAATTTAAATATTTAAATATTGCATTGATCCTAATGACGGAAAATTTGAATAATTTTTGCTATATTTCGTTCTTCAAGCAGATTCAAAAAATGCATATGGTTCAAAAGTATGAAAATTAAGTTAGCTGGCATCTAAAAATTTTTAGAATTTTTTTTTATTGAAAAAAGTATTATAAACAAATAAAAAAAAAATTCATTTGTAAAAGACTATAAATTCTAATTAATAAATTAAAAACGTCGGCTAACTTTAGTATTAGTTTAAAAGTTTATATTTGTATGTATTTATGACCGACTGTGTTTCTTTTTTAACCCCCGCAATTCTAAGCAGATCTTAATAAAACGTAACATACATATTTTTTGGACGATTTTCAAAGTTAATTTCGAAGATGAGTCAAATTGATCGATCAGTTTAAAAATGACATCAATCCAAAAATTTTATAAAATTGGAAAAATTTTCACTTTTACTCATTTTTCATGTAATAAAAATTTAACGCAATATCCTATCATATTTCTATAAATTTTATCTAAAAGTTTGATAAATAAGTTTCAATTTACATGCTTATTTTTATTTCTAAACTAAATAATTTAGAGATGACAGCAATTTCAAAATTATCAAAAATCGCAAAAAATTTTCTCTTTTATACGCTTTTTTCATGTAATAACAATTGAACGCAATATTCTATAAAATTTCTGTAAATTGCATCTAAAAGCTTATTAAATAATCTTCAATTTGCATACTTATTTTTTTTTTTTAATTAAATAGTTTAGAATAACAAAAATTTGACTTTTTCAAAATTCTCAAAAATTGTTACTTTTATTATTTCTCTGCAAAATAATTATTGAATGCAATAAATTGTAAAATTTTTGTAAATTACATCTGAAAGCTCAATAAATGAGCTCGAATTTGCAAAATTATGTTTTTGTTTTTAATTAAATAGTTAAGAATAATAAAAATTTTAATTCTTCAAAATTCTTAATAATTTCCACTATTACTCTTTTTTCATGCAATAAAAATTTAACGCAATATTCTATCAAATTTCTGTGAATTGCATCTGAAAGTTTATTAAATAATCTTCAATTTGCATACTTATTTTTATTTTCTAAATTAACTATTTTAGATAAACAATCAAATAAAAAATTTAAATTCCTCAAAATTCTAATAAATTGGTTCTTTTACAATTTCTTTGCAAAATAATTATTGAATGTAATAAATTATAAAATTTTTATAAATTACTTCTGAAAGTTTAATAAATAAGCTTTAATTTTCACATTTAACCATCAGTCTGGACCAAAAAATTACCTATCTTTATCTATTTTATAGAATTTTACTCTAGCATTCGTTTTAAAAATTATTTTAGTCATATTAAAATATAAAGCGCTCAAAATTGTGGTCTTAATTAATTACTATTTATTTTTGGTTGTAAAAAAAACCGGAAATCATGAAGATCTACTTCAGTATAATGAGACAAACTTATTAAATAATTGTTTTATTATCAGCCCTTGGATAAATTGGTAAGTGCGCAAAGTTTTTATTTAATCTAATATTTTTTAAGTGCCCGAAAATCAAGTTCAAAGATTCTGTAATAGATCTGTTGCATACATAGATAAATAAAGTAACGGATACGCAATCTAAGCTAATAAAATAGTGTTAAAAATAGCTAAAATTATTTAAAATAAGAAGCCCTTTAAAAAGTAATGGATGACACTTAAACCAGAAGACCATATAATAAGACGATTAAATCTTGTATAACAAGCAATTCTGAAAATTAAAGTAGGTCATTCGTGCTATCTAGTTGCAAATATATATTATATATCTACTAGCTGTACAGGAAAAAGTTGTTTTAATTCTCAAGATTATTCGATCGTTTTAGTCATACTCATCGTGATAATATGCACGTGAAAATAATCCGTACCTAGTACCATACCGAGTACTACTTACTCACTCCAGTTTCGTTATTGATATCGATATATCAACATTCATCCTTATATTTATTCTGTACGCCTACTTATATTTAACATTGGTATTGCTGACATTGAAAAAATTAATAATTTTTCCAATAATTGCTACAAGTTATTTTATTTTTAGAAACTTCTTTTTTTTTTTGTTTAAATTCGTGATCGAGTTTTAGAGTTTTATTGATGTTAATTTTTTGTTGAATTGAACTTTTAATTAGCTTGAATGTTAAATTTTACTTAAAAATAAAAAAAAAAATTCTATGATTTTCAATATATAATTTTGAGATTAAAAATTAAATTTTAATATTGAAAATAATCTCAATTATTGAGAGAATAAGAAAAATTTTGCCTATAGGATAGTCATATGATAAGTATTTAGAGTGCATTCGAAAATGATCTATCTCTAAATATGTAATTAAAAAACGACCCTGTATCTTGTGAATTATTGACATTTTTAAAGATATAAGATCATCCCGATGTTATATTCATCGAGAGCTTTCATTTGAGTACCCACATGCATTTTTGATATATTTTTCATATATGCATATATATAATATATATATATAAATATATAAAATATATATAAAATTGATATGGGTACTCAAATAAAAGGTCTCAATGAGTGTAACATCGGGATGAGCTTATATCTTTAAAAATGTCAATAATTAAGAAATGACCTAGTATCTTGTAAACTATTGGCATTTTTAAAGATATAAGCTTATCTCGATGTTACATTCATCGAGAGCTTTCATTTGAGTACCCACATCAATGTTTCATATATTTTGTATATTTATATATATTATATATGTGTAAATATGAAAAATATATCAAAAATGCATGTGGGTACTCAAATGAAAGCTCTCGATGAGTGTAACATCAAAATG